ATATAGTGAAGAGGTTTTGGGTAGTATGAGTCACATAAAAACATTGAAAAACACGAATTAGGTTTCTTGGGAATACACTAGCGCTTAAGCGACAGGCGAGCAACGGTATCTCCCTCGAGTGAAGTTCAAGCGATAGGTGGGCGAAGCAGCTTCTATTTTTACTGCTCGAGTATCAGTTGGACGATAGGCTAGCGAAGTTGCGGCAACTTTTTCCTTCTTGTTCCATACTCGAACCATACGACTTCTAATTAACCACTGACACTTTGACTTTTAAAAACTCTTTTACAACAATAGTTTTGTCAAAAGATTGCCACAACTTTAAAACCTAACAAATTCCCCCCTTTGACATTCTATGACAAAACACGTATTACAAATCAAAGTTGATTCAATCTAATCTACCTAAAAACCAACTGACTCGGCCGAATCTTGCTTTCATTTGTCCAACACGTTTATTGAAAAATAAACTTAAATACCAAGTATAAAAGCACACGAAACAGTAACATGAATAAAAGCATGTGAGACAGTTATTCATAAATTCAACAACATGTCATTTCAATTAAGATGCAATATCAATGTAAGCTACCACACCAAAACCAAACATTGATATCACTAAACATCAAAACTTAACTAGCTAAGCATTCAAAAAATCATTTCCCCCTCACTACAAATCATCTTCCCCTTACTATAAACTCTCAAAAATTCAAAATTAAAATTTAAACAGATCTCATTCATACCTCATTCATCTTTCCCCTTTTTGTCACAAATGACGAAGGTAACAACAATATATAATAACTCAAAGATGCGGTTGATAGCATGCACAAGCATAATCAATGATCAGTAAACTATTGCATACACTCAGTTCAAGTCTAAATGGAGTAAATTATATAAGTGACTCATGTGTGTTAAATGCCACTAATTCCTTGTGATCAAGACTCTACACCTTAAATTTGTGAGAAAGAAGATGCTAAACATCACTGTTAAATAAGTTGATTTATCTACTAATGAAAGTCAAATTAGAACCTGCATATTAGGACCTATACATAAAACTTATTTTCACGTATATTATTCTTTTCTCCCTCTGACTTTGAGCTTAATTTTTTGCACAACTTATATTTTTCTTTTCAAATTCATCATATTTCTCTTCACTTTTTAATATCTTATATGCAGACTCTTCTCCATTAAGCGATTAAAATGATTCCTGTAACGAGTTTTGGGCTGATGTCTCTAAGTCTGCTGACCATAGGGCATCGGGTTATGAGAAACCCCATGCTTAATTATTCGAGTCAAATAAACTTCGAAGAAGAGTATAAGATGAAACGTTTTTATTTCATTTAAGGGGATATACTCGAGTGTAGGTCTACTAAATTAAGGTCAATTCATATTCAAGGTGACCTTATAAACAGATGACTACCATCCCAAATCTCACACACACGGT